CAATGTTTCCTCATAAAGATCAAGGAAAAATATTCTTAAAAAGATAATAGATAAACTCTTAAACAACACTCACAGAACAGTAAAAGCTAAAAATATATTTTAAATAAATTTTACAAACAGGTATTTAGGAAACAAATGCTTGACCAGAAAAAAAGAAAATGTATTGTATGTTTATAATATGCATTCATGAAAAGTTCACTGGATTTGTGTACCTAATAAATCAATAAGACACTGTCATCGAATGTGATTGATATGCTAGTCCCCAAATGGAGATTCTGTAGTTTGGGCATAATTCCAAGTTTCAGATTTGAAGAAGTTACAATGGTCTTTGAAAATATATTTTCACAGTATAAGCAAGCAACAAAAGTGCACACAAAGTAGGAACGCACAAGAATGCCAGCCCTTCTTCAGAACTTTCAGCCTTTGAAAAATGTGGATGAGGTTACCAAGGAAGGTCATCATAAGAGGTGAAACCATCATCAGCCTTTCTTCATAAAATTCCATTATCTGATACCCTACTAGGTCAAATAATGGAAAGTAGTAACACAACTGTTATAAAACACTGAAGGGCAAGCCTTTCTGTTCTCCTCAATATGTCATGGATGAGCAAGTGATGACCAGGACCAGAGAATTCTGAGTACTAATATCCAGTCTTAGCTTACCACTCAACCAGCCATGCCTAATGGTATTTTCTGGAGAAAGCCATTATTTGTGTGTGTGTGTGTGTGTGTTTCTTAGTTCCAATAACTTCTATTGGTAGTTCCTCTTAAAGAAGGTATCTATTTCTCTTAATAATTACTCTTACAACCCTTCATCCTTATCTGTGTTTCCTATTCACAACATATTCCCCATAGCTACACCTAGAGTCTCTCATGTGAACCCCTAGTATTCATTACTTCCTCAAATAGTTCCTGGACTTTTTCATTGTGTGTGTAACTTAGTATTTACTTCTTCCAGCACAACCTCTAAAAGGAAACTCATAGCATATCCTCTAGTATCCTTCAAGTGGCCACTTATAAGACTCTCAATGAATCATGTTCTTAGGAAACATATTTAAAATTCTGAACAACTACATAAAGGAAGAGAAAATAAGCAGCTATCAATGGTGTTATATTGTCCCAAAATACCTGAAACACTTTGCCTCATGTAATGCTTTAATCAGTATTTGTTTATATTTATAAAAGGAATTCATTCTATTGATAATTTGAAAGTATTCAAGAAGAGATTTCAAAGAAGAAAACAAAAGTTAACAATAATATCATCCACTTATAGCCATTACTAATTTTTAGTGTATTCCTTCCAGTCTGTGTGTGTTTCTGTGTGTGTAACTAAGATACTATATTATTTATATTTTTAATGCTGATTTGCTTAATGAATGCTTTGTCATGGGTATTTGTATTTCAATCAAATTAAAGGAATAAGGAGAGAGAATTCCAAGATGGAGGCTGCTTAAGTGGAAGCTACATTTACATGGTCCCAACACCAAATTAGCATTATAACTAAAATATAGAAAGAACATCCTGAATAATCAACTGAAGTCTACGTGGAGAGAACCCTTATAATGAAGGACATAAAGTGGAAACTATACAGAGACTGGTAGGAATTGTGGAGGCATGAGAGGGCTGGCTGATTCCCACAGCAGAAGCTGAAATTCTGAAGGGATATTTCAGCTGTGGAAGGTTCCCACTGAGAACTCTGCAGTCTAAATCCTAAGCTGGGCTTCCCAGCCTAGAGGAGCACACAGAAAAGTGCCCACATAAAATCTGGCTGTGAAAAACAGTGGAGTTTCTGTCTGCCAGGGAGAATAGCTAGAAATGCAGCTACACTATTAAAGAGCCAATGCACAAAATTTTGTGTGCAGTCACTCACTTTGGTCTCTGGCAAGGGGAGGGCAGAGTGGACTAGAGTTGTATGAGAAAAATGCAGAGTTGGTAGTTCTGGGTATAGAGCTCAGAGGGCAGCCACCTGGGTTCCTGTGCTGAGCCATTCCCCAATACTTCAGAGGACATCTTTCTCAGGCACACATTTAAGATCCAGGCAACTTTAGCCTGGGGGGAAACAATTGGCATGCCCATTGGAGAAACCTCTAGCCCCACCCCATGGAGTTCATCTACACCCTGAGGCTCATTAAGAAGCTGACAATAACAATCAGATTGCAGGCAGTGGCAGATCTCTGGATGTTTTGAGTCTCTAAATGATCTGCTTCTGGACCCAGGGCTAGGAAAAGCAGACATTGGTGTGCATTTGGTTCTTTCCAAACACACCAGCCCCAACAGAGTGAGCCACAAGCTGTGGATTGATGATAGCTCAAAACACAGTACTCAGGGCCAGTCACCAACAGTATCCGACATTGGCCTGTACCAGATATCCTCTAAAAAACTGGGAGTAATAGAATATATACCTAATACATAGAAATAAACTCAAGCAGGCTACCAAAATTGAGAAACAAAGAAACAAAAAGGCCCAAATGAAAGAACAAGAAAATTTTCCAGGACAAGAGCTAAATGAAATGGAGATAAACAAGTTATTCAATATAGAGCTCACAGTAATATTTATAAGGATGTTCAGCAGCATGAGAAGAAACATAGAAACTATGAAAAATGACCATCTGGAAATGAAGAATGACATAGCAAAAATAATGAATATATTGGGAGGAATAAATAGCAGATTAGAGGAAGCCAAAGATCGGGTCATTGAATTAGAAGACAGGTAGAGAAAATCATTCAATCAGAGAACCAAAAAGAAAATACAATTAAAAAACAGGTGGACAGTTTAAGGGAATTGTGGTATAATATGAAACATGATATTCACATCATACGAGTACCAGAATGGGAAGAAAGTGAGCAAGGGATAGAGAACACATTTAAAGAAATAATGACAGAAAATGCCCTTAACCTGGTGAAGGAAAAAGTCACACAAGTTCAGGATTCACAGAAACTATCAAGCAAAAAGAACTCTAACAGGTCCATGCCAAGACACAGCATAATCGAAATGCCAAAAATTAAAGAAAGAGAATCTTAAAGGAAGCAAGAGAAAAGCAATGTGTTACCTACTAAGGAGCTCCCACAAGGTTGTGAGCTAATTTCTCATCAGAAACTACAGGCCAGATGGGAATGGTATTAAGTATTTAAGGTAACGAAAAGCAAGGATCTGAGACCAAGATTACTCTATACAACAAGGCTATTATCCATATATATAAAACCCTAATATGCAAATAGACCAAACGGCAGAACAACTGAACTGGTCGCTATGACATGCGCTGACCACCAGGAAGCATGCGCGGAGCATGGCAGGCGTTGGCGGCAGGCGTTGGCAGCAGGTGGCAGAGTGCAGAGCATGGCGGGTGTCAGTGATAGTGGGATGGTGGAGCAGGTGAGTGGGGGTGCCAGACCAAGGTGGGGCACCAGTTGCTGTCATTGGGGTGAGCCTCTGGTGGTTACTGAAAATTCTTTGCTCCCATGTGCCAGGGTCCTGCCCGGCACTCGCACCTGCTGCCTGTGCCGGCCCCACTTGCATCTGCTGCCGGGGCCAGTGCCGCCACTGCAGCCTCAAGGCCCACAGTTCCTTTCAAGGTGCAAGAATTTGAGCACTGGGCCCCTAGTCCTATCTAATAATAAACAAACATGGTAATTGACCATACCTTCACTACCCCTCCCATTGGCTAATCAGTGCGATATGGAAATTAACTGTCAACAAATATGGCAGCTAATTTTCATACCTCAGGCAGGGTGGGACAGCACCCTCCTGCCTGCCCCACCATCCTCTGGACCTGCTATTTGCGACCCTGGGTGGTGGGGCGGAACAGCACCATCCCGCCAGCCCTGTCACCATCCTGGCCTGCTATCTGCCACCCAGGGTGGCGGGCATCCGTGTGCGACCCGACCCGGGGTGGCCGGGTGGGGCAGCAGAGATCAGCCGGCCCGCCTGGGCATCCCGTGTGCAACCCGACCCGGATCGGCCCTGCCGTGTGCATGACTTGGGGAGGCGGGGCAGGCACCAAGGGATCAGGCCTGCCATCTGCCACCCGGGGAGCAGGCTTAAGCCAGCAGGTGGTTATCTCCCGAGGGGTCCCAGACTGTGAGAGGGCACAAGTGGAGCTGAGGGACACTCCCCTCCACCCCCCCTCCCCCGCCAGTGCACAAATTTTTGTGCACCAGGCCTCTAGTCCTATATAATAAAAGCCTAATATGCAAATTGACCAAACAGCAGAACAACCGGTTGCTAAGATGCTCACTGACCATTAGGGGTAGATTCTCAATGCAGGAGCTGCCCCCTGGTGGTCAGTGAGCTCCCAGAGGGGAAGCGCCACTCAGCCAGAAGCTGGGCTCAAGGTTGGTGAGCACAGCAGCAGTGGTGGGAGCCTCTCCCACCTCCACTACAGTGCTAGGGATGTCCGACGGACATCCCCTGAGGGCTCCTGGACTGAAAGAGGGCACAGGCTGAGCTGAGGGACCCCCCTGAGTGCACAAATTTCATGCACTGGGCCTCTAATTTAAAATAGGTGGTGAAATAGTTACTCAGACAGAACTGACCGGTTGGGGTGTTGGCCTGGGGACTCAGGGGTCCCAGGTTCGATTCCCGCCAAGGACATGTGCCTTGGTTGCAGGCCCATCCCCAGTGGGGAGCGTGTAGGAGGCTGCTGATCGATGTTTCTCTCTCGTCGATGTTTCTGACTCTCTGTCCCTCTCCCTTCCTCTCTGTTAAAAATCAATAAAATATATATATTTAAAAAAAAGTTACTCAGACAAAAAAAGGCTAAAGGAGTTTATCACCACCAAGCAGCATTTCAAGAAATGTTAAAGAGACTGGTGTAAAAATGAAAAAAAAAAAAAAAAAAAAAAAAGGAGAAAGAGAAACAGGCATAAAGAATTAAAGTGGGAATAAATAAGTACATATCAATAATAACATTAAGTTTAAATAGATTAAATGCTCCAATCAAAGGACATATGTTAGCTGAATATATAAGAAAATATGACCCACGGCTTCAGTAGTGACTGCTTCTCTAGCTGGGTCTGAGCCTCGCCAGCCCCTCCTCCAGGAGACTGTTGCAGTGGGCCAGCCGCTGCTCCACTGTAACCATGTGCGACCGAAAAGCGGTGATCAAAAATGCCGATATGTCGGAGGAGATGCAACATGACTCCGTGGAATGTGCTACTCAGGCGTTGGAGAAATATAACATAGAAAAGGACATTGTGGCCCATATTAAGAAGGAGTTTGACAAGAAGTACAACCCCACCTGGCACTGCATCATGGGGAGGAGCTTCGGTAGTTACCTGACACATGAAACCAAATACTTCATCTACTTCTACCTGGGCCAAGTGGCCATTCTTCTGTTCAAATCAGTGATCCATCCAAAAATAAGGATTGCAGCCTAAATTCCAAATACCAGAGACAGAAATCTTCAGCCTTGTCTAAAGGAACACCTTGATCTTGAACCTTTATTGTGTTGTTTTATACAGGGTATTCGCTGTACTCATTTGTTGTGATTATAAAACAATTAGCAAAGAAGCTTACATTTGTATTTATTTTCTATTCCATACCTCTCTGCCCCATGTTTTTTCTCCTCAAAATCCATTCCTTTCCCAAAATAAAATTTGTTGGAGAAAAAAAGAAAAGAAAATATGACCCATATATGCTGTCTACAAGAGACCCACCTCATAACAAAAGACTCACACAGGATGACAATGAAAGAATGGGAAAAATTTTTCTATGCAAATGGAAATGAGAAAAAAGCTGGGCTAGCAATACTCATATCTGGCAAATAGATTTCAAAATGAAGGCCATCATGAGAGACAATAAAGGCCACTACATAATACCAAAGGGATCAAAACAACAAGAAGATTTAACCCTGGTAAACATATGCATCCAACATAGGATCACCTAAATATATATATAAAAAAAAAACTTCTGGAGTACTTTAAGGGAGAGATCAACAGCAATATAGTCATAGTATGGGGCTTTAACACCACATTGGCTTCACTGGATAGATGTTCCAGACCAAAAAAAAAAAAAAAAATCAACAACAAAAGAGTGACTCTAAATGACACACTTAATTTAATTGATATTTACAGAACATTTCACCCCAAAGCTGCAGAATATACATTGCTCTATTGTTCCCATGGGACATTTTCAAAGGTAGACCACATGTTAGGACCCAAAAGAAGTCGCTACAAGTTCAAGAAGATTGAAACTGCATCAATCATCTTCTTGGTTCACAATGGCATGAAATTAGATATCAATTACACTAAAAATACCATTAAAACATTAGGAAGATGGGGGCTACTTAGCATGTTTTAGAAAATTAATGGGTTACTAATGAGATCAATAAAGAAATAAATAAAAATACTTCTAGAAACAAATGAAAATGAACACACTACAAGCCCAAATCAATGGGACACAGTAAAAGCAGTATTCAGAAGGAAGTTAATAGCACTAGAGGCCTACCTCAAAAAAAGGAACAAATTTTAATGTTATCTAACCATACAACTTAAAATCTTAGAAAGAGAACAATAAGAAAAGTCCAGAATAAGTAGAAGGAAGGAAATAATAAATATTAGAGTGGAAATATATGACATAGAGACTATAAAACAATACATAAGTTTAATGAAACCAAGGGCTAGTTCTTTGAAACAATAAGCAAGATTAATGAAACTTTAACCAGACTCATCAAGAAACAAAGAGAAAGAGTGCAAATAAATAAAATTAGAAACAAAAGAGGTAAAATAACAACTGACACCACATAAATACAAAGGATTATAAGAAAATACTATGAACAGCTTTATGCACACAAATTGGATAATCTGGGTGAAATGGACAAATTCCTAGAAAAATACAATCTTTTAAAACTGAATTAGAAAGAGTCAGATAACACGAAAAGGCCAAAAACCACTGATGAGATTGAAACCATAATAAAAACAATAATAATAAAAAAAACCCTCCTGGTAAATAAAATCCCTGGTTTAGGTGGCTTCACAGGAGAGTTTTATCAAATATTCAAAGAAGAAGTAATACCTATCCTCCTCAGACTATTCCAAAAACTCCAAGAGGAAGGAACACTGTCAAGCTCTTTACAGGAGGCCAACATTATCCTAATTCCAAAACCAGATAAAGACACTACAAAGAGAGAGAATTACAGGTCAATATCCCTGATGAACATAGATGTTAAAAACCTCAATAAAATATTAGCAAATAGGATGCAGCAATATATTAAAAGGATCATACACCATGACCAAGTGGGATTGATTCCAGAGACACAAGGCTTGTACAATATTCACAAATCAATAAATGTGATACATCAAAAAAACAAATTGAAAGTAAAAAATCACATGATCATATGATTACATGCAGAAAAAGCATTATACAAAATCCAACACCCTTTTTAAATAAAAACTCTCAGCAAAGTGAGAATAGAGGGATCATACCTCAACATAATAAAGGCCATGTATGATAAAACTATAGACAACATACTCAATGGGCAAAAACTAAAACCATTTCCCCTAATAACATGAATAAGACAATGATGCCTGCTTTCACTACTCTTATTCAACATAGTACTGGAATACCTAGCCACAGAGATCAGACAAGAAGAAGACACAAAAGGCATCTAGACTGAAAGGAGGAAGTAAATCTATCATTATTCTCAGATGGCATGATATTGTGTGTAGAAAACTATAAAAACTCCATCACAAAACTACGAGGTTTAATAAATGAATTCAGCAAGGTTGCAGGATACAAATTAACATCAATGGCATTTTTATACACCAATAATGAACTCTCAGAAAGAGAAACAAAAAAAAGTCTCATTTTCTATTGCAACCAAAAATTAAGATACTTAAGAATAAACTTAACCAAGGAGGTTGAAGACTTAAAGACCTGTACTCGGAAAACTATAGGGCATTGAAAAAAGTGACAGAAGATATAAACAAGAGGAAGAATATGCCATGTTCATGGACTGGTAGAATTAGCATGATTAAAATGTCTCCCCCCAAAGCAATTCATCAAAATTCCTATTAAAACACCAATGGCATATTTCACAGATCTAGATAAAACTCTCCAAAAATTTATATGGAACCACAAAAGACCCTGAACAGCCACAGCAATCCTGAGAAAGAAGTACAAAGTTGGAGAGATCACAATATCAGATATCAAGTTATACTACAAAGCCACTGTAATCAAAACAGCCTGGTACTAGCACAAGAACAGGCATATAGATCATTGGAACAATACAGAGAACCCATATATCAACCCACGCCATTACATTCACTTAATATTTGACAAAGTAGGCAAAAGCACATAATTGAGTAAAGACAGTCTTTTTTAAAAATGGCATTGGGAAAATTGGACAGGTACATGCAAAAAAATGAAACTAGACCACCAAATTATGCCTTACACAGGAATAAACTCAAAATGGATGAAAGACTTAAATGTAAGCTGTGAAACCATAAAACTACTAGAAAAAAGCATAGCCAGCAAAATCTCAGACGTCTCTTGTAGCAATATGTTTGCCAATACATCTCCTAGCAGTGTTCAGCAAACTCATTAGTCAACAGAGCAAAATATCAACAGTACTTTTTCAAAATAGAAAAAAAAATAAAAATAAAAAAAATAAAAAAACGAAATAGACTCACCCAGGCTGAAAACCGACTTCTGAGCATGGGCCACGAAGTTTCAATCGCACTGTACGTGCGCCCGCAAGTGGTATTTTGTGGAAGAGCCACACTCAAGGGGCCAAAGAGCCACATGTGGCTCGCGAGCTGCAGTTTGCCGACCACGGTGACCTAGGGCAAGGGAAACAAAGGAGAAAATATATAAATGGGACTACATCAAAATAAAAAGCTTCTGCATATCAGAAACCATAAACAAAATGAAAATGGATCCTTCTGTATGGGAGAACATATTTGCCAATGATACGTATGATAAAGGTTCATTTTCAAAATATATAAGAATCTCATACAACTTAACAAAATTAAGACAATCCAATTAAAAAATGGGCAAAGGACCTAAACAGACACTTCTCCAAAGTTGACCAAGAGAAATGAAAAAAATGTTCAAAGACACTAATCACCAGAGAGATGCAAATTAAAATAATAATGAGTTATCACCTCACACTATCAGAATGGCTATCATCAACAAATTAACAAACAACAAGTGTTGGTGAGGATGTGGAGAAGAGGGGACCCTAATACACTGCTGGTGGGAATGTAGACTGGTGAAGCCACCATGGAAAACAGTATGGAGCTTCCTCAAAAAATTAAAAATGGAACTGCCATTTGACCTACTGCTCCCACTTCTAGAATATATCCTAAGAAACACGAAGCAACAGTCAGAAAGAATATATGCACTCCTATGTTCATAGCAGTGTTATTTATAATCGCTAAGATCTGGAAATAACCCAAGTGCCCATCAGTAGATGAGTGGATAAAAAAGCTGTGGTACATTTATACCATGGAATACTATGCATCTGTGAAAAACAAGAATCTCCTAGTCTTTGAGACAACATGGATTGGCCTGGAGAGTTTATGATGAGCAAAGTAAATCAACCAGAGAAAGATAAGTACCACATGATATCACTCATATATGGAATCTAATAAACAGAATAAAATGATGAACAAAATTGATCCGGAGACATAGAAGAAACCCCTGGATACAGACAATAGCTTAGTAAAGGCATGGAGGAAAGCAGGATGTAGGGGGGGGAGTCAATTGGGTACAAAAAGGGAACATCTGTATTACTTTCAAAAATAAAGATACATTTTAAAAATCAAAAGTAAATAATGAAAAGAATCAGAAAATTATTTTAAAATATTATTCTTAATGGTTAATATAGCTTTTCAATAAAATATTATGAGTGGGAATTTCAGCTTTTACCATTTAAATATTATTATTCACATATTTAAAAATTTATCTTTATATGCATCTTTGATTATAACCTTAGGAAACTTATCTTTCTAGCTACTTACATATTCAATTTATATATATTGAGAATCTTCTATCTATCAGGTATTGTGGCATAAGGCCTGGGAATGCAATAGGAAGTGAAAAAAGCCATAGTCTTCATATTCAGTGGTAGAGAAAGAAGTATAGACACTAAACTGGCATTATATTAATAAAAATAGGATTTCATTGAGAAAAATTGTGTGAAGAAATCAACAGAGTGCTATGATAGAATATCATGTAGATGGGAAGCGTGGAAACCAGCTTGGATAGGAAATTCTTCCTATCTTAGGTTGTGGCAAATATGCTGAGATACAAAGCACAGGAAAGAGCCAGACAAGCAGAATAGGAAAGGGGCAAAAGCTGAGTAAGGATGTGTTTTCAGGGATAGTCTATCCTTGGCCTAAACCATAGGAGAAGGGCTCTGGAACATAAACCTTAC